CTTTATCCTTATCCTTCCCCTCCAGACACGTTTCGGTGTGCGGCGGCGGGGGGGACTTTGACGTAGTCGAGGGCTCAGAGCTCGCCACGCTCGACTTTTTGGAGTCTGGAATGAGATCGGATGAGGGCTGCGCGCTAGCCGCGAGTGGCTGGAACGCTGGGGAGGACGTGGCGGGACTACCCGGGGCGCTGTCCTCCTTCCAGGTTTTCTCCTTCACTTTCACCTTGGCCTTGGCCTTGACCGACGTACCCGGGTGTCCTTGGCCGGCTGGAGGTCGGAGCGAAGACGCTGGTGCACTATTATTATCCTGAGAGGTTTCGTCACCGTCGGCCTTCTGTGTGACTGTTACATGAGGGAGGGCGGGTGGGTGGTGGTGGGGGTTCGCAGGGGTGGGGGGCATTTCTTGCGTGGGATGTTGTGGCAGTACCGCCACCACAGGAGGAGGCTGCTGATGTTGTTGCTGATGCTGTTGCTGATGCTGATGCTGATGCTCCAGTGACAGCGAAGATGAGGACAACAACAACGACGACGACGATGATGATGATGAAGAAGAAGAAGACGCTGCGGTAGCTGCTACAGCTAATGGTGCCACCACCGCGGCGGGGGGCTTCTGGACATTGAGGACGGTCAAACTCTCAGCTGCTTGAGGCGGAGCGGAGGAGGAGGGGGAAACACTCGCGGCGACGGCCACCACGCTGTCCAAGCTACCACCACCACCTCCACCACCGCTGCTGCTGCTGCTGCTCATCAGCGTGTAGGTTCGGCAGACAGGCACGTGCTGCACGCTGCCAGAGAAGATTCCCACCGTGGTGATGAGAGGTTGCGGAGGAGGCGGCGGTCGGGCCATCTGATGAGGACTGGCCGCATTCTGCCGAGGCAAAGTTGACGCTGACGACAACGATGATGATGAATCCTGGCGAACCAACAACCCGGGGTTGCGAGTCGCCTCGCTGGCTTGATGATGAGAGCCCACCATCATCATCCCCGCCCTCTCGTTCCGTTTGGCTCCCAGGAATTTTTTCAGTTTTTCGTCCGTCTCCGAGTTGATTTTCCCGCCCGCCCCTTCCCCGGCGGGTCCCTCCTGCCTGCCCTTGCCGGCTCTGCGACCTTTTTTGCGACCAACGTCTCCGCGGATCGACGGTTCCTTCTCTCTCGAGTGCGGCGGCGGCGGCTGCTTCCTTGCGTCAAATGAAGGCTGCGGCTCCCCGCCACCATCTTTGTCCGAGGGTATGATGGAGAGGATCGCGCCGCTGAATCCAACGACCGCCCGCGGTGCCTCGCTGGTCGGGGCGGGGGAGAAGGCCGGGGAGATGGTGGACGGCTCCACGGGCCGGCTCAGGTCAACGGCCTTGACCGGCGGTGCCGAGGCGCGAGACGACCTCTGGCCCGAGGAGTTGGAGAAGTCGAGAGGCTTGGCCACGACCCCGGGCTGGTCGGCTGGGGTGATGGTCACTATGTTGTCCGAGCTGCGGCTGAGGGCCACCATCGGCATGTCGCCGGGACGACGTCGGTCCGGGCGGGACAAGGACAGGTTGAGGGCACTCAC